CCCCAGCCTGCTCCACCCAGAGCACACAGCAAGACCACAGGTGGCCGCCACAGTGTGCCATTCGGCAGCCAAATCACAGCCCTTTAGAAATAGGGAAGCAACACACACAACGACCAATTTCTTGGAGACAGCCTGCTGTACGTCAGCAGAACAGCCTGCAKGCTAATCTCGCTCTCAAGAACCGCTGGGCTCCGTGGCTCCGCGTCCTACGGTGGCCTGTTTTACGGACGTCCATTCCTTTGATAAAAATTCTCCAGCGGCCACACGCGMTAACCCTCCCACTAGGCAGTGGGATTCGACACTGAAAAAGTCACSATCCAGAGTCTAGACAAGACGGGGCTCTATGGACCACACCTCTRCAACACGGAGGGGGTTGCAGACAGCGGATCCCCCTCGGGATCAGGAAGTCCCCGGGAGGAGGTGACGTTCTACTGATCTGATGAGGAACCAGCAGGCTGGCTGGAGGGGGAGGAGGGGAGCAYGGAAGGGGTTCCGGGCACCCCAGGCAGATGGCCCTGCACAAACAAAGCCCAGCAAGGAAAGAGAAGGCGCTGGGTGTTGGAGGAACTGAAAGAGACCTAGGGAGGCTGCTTCTTGGAAGCTTAAAGTCATAGAGGGGAGAGAAACCTAGTCTTAGAAGACTTCAAAAGCCTCAGATACCAAGGAGCAACGGATATTATCCTGGGGTACCAGAGAGCCATCAGGGGAGGCTTTAAGCAAGAGACTGACACAAGCAGATCACATTTTAAAAACAATCACTTTGAGCCAAGCTCAGTGGTGCACACCTGTCATCCCRGTGGCTTGGGAGGCTGAGGCAGGAGGATCAAGAATTCAAAGYGGGCTTCAGCAACTTGGCRAGGCCCTAAGCAACTCAATGAAACCCTGTCTCTAAATAATATATAGAAAAGGGCTGGGAATGGGGTTCAGTGGTGAGTGTTCCTGAGTGAGTTCAATCCACAGTAGCTCCCCTTAAAAAGAACAATGACTTTGCAGCCTACAACAATACTCCAAAGCTAGTGTCTTTCAGTGCAGTTTCAAACAATACTCTGCAAACAGCTCTTTGCTTCAATAAAAGATGGCACTGGGAGCAACTTGAAAAACCCATTTAGAGTGATTTTAATGAACCTCCAATAATAGCACCCTTCAATGATGTTTGAATATAATCCTCTGTGACTGCTCCCTGTTTTCTGTCTCCCACACTTGACTTAATGGCATGCATGAATCAGGAACCTTGACAGACAATMTCGCGCCTTCCAGGGGCCCACAGGCACACGGAACTCTGCACACACCCACCGCAGGCCTTTCGGAAGGGGCAGGCGGATAAAGAAAGGATGGGGAAGGGGAAATGTAAAATCCTGGGTTGGGGGCGGAGCCATAAGACCCACRCGTGCAATGCACAGGGGACATGAACAGGTGGCGAGAAGTGGGGGTGGTGGTGTGTGTAGCCATTATCATGACAACCAGCCCTCGGGACCCACAGATTCCTTGGAGTCAACCAACTGTGGGTCAAAAAATGATTTTTAAAAAGTTGCATCTGTAATGAATATGTACAGATGGGTTTTCTTCCTTGTTGCTATTCCCCAAACAATGTAGCAGAACAAGTATTTACATAGCATTTGCATTTATTGGGTATTATAAGTCATCTAGAGATGATTTAAAGTCCACGGGAAGATGCGCATGGGTTATATGCAAATTCTCTGCCAATTTACAGAAGGGACATAGATACAGAGTATCCATGGAGTTTGGTTCCTGCAAAGGATCCTGAAACCCATCTTCCCTGGCTAGTAAGGGATGGCTGTATTTCTAATTCAGTCGGAGTGGATCAAGGGCAGCACCTGCTTCCCTTTTACAACCAGTGATTTTTTTTTTCTTTTTTGGTGCCAGTGGCACTTAACCACTGAGCCCCATCCCCACCCCTTTTTTATATTTTATTTAGAGGCAGGGTTTCACTGAGTTGCTTAGGGCCTTGCTAAATTGCTGAGGCTGGCTTTGAACTCTCGATCCTCCTGCCTCGGCCTCCCAAGCCACTGGGATGACAGGTGTGAACCGCTGCACCTGGCAGAATATTTTGAAGAACACAGCTCGGTCCTGGCCACTGTATTTTGAAAGTCATTGTTAACGCACAGGAGGGAATTTATGACACTGGTCAGCTGGAAATATCTAAGGCAGCGCGGTTGAAGATCAGTGACTACTGACCACAACCCCCTCTGCACTAGCGCCTTCTGTGAGCCAGGGACGTGCCAGACCTGTCATATCTATTATCCCCGGGCAGGGAAGAGTCACAGTATATCTTCAGACGGAGTGAACTYGGGCCATCGATACCCAGCGGGAACAGGAGCTGGCTAAACATAACCCTGATGTGAGACATCACGAACCCAGATGACAAACCAACCGTCCCCTGGCCACCTGTGGGTCCTGGATGTGTCTCCTTCGCCCTCAACTAGGTTTAATCTTTAARCAGGTGTTGCTGATATATTAAGAATCAGTGAGATTTCCTCTGACCCCTGATTCCCAGCTTCTCAGGGGAACTTAGAAGTGGAGCCGCGCTGAGCCTCCCATCCTGGAACCCACCACCCTATTTCCAGACTGGAAAGAGACCTTGTGCGCCTCCATTTAGTGAGCTTCTTCTGCCCACCGCCTTGCTCTGGCCCTGCCCTGCGTCCCTGCCYGAGCCTCCCCTGCTGACCGCCTGCAGGGCTTCTGAGGCTGGAGCACATAATAGGGTGCAGCTCATCATAGGGTGCCTGGCACTAAATAAGTGCTCAAGAAATCAACAATKATAGTTATCACCTTCATGCAGCTAATCACCTGCAGGGCCTGCGGAGCACAGAACCCCCGCCCCTCCCAGCGTTTCCGATTCTTCGAATTCCTTCCAGGTGACAAGCTGCTGCTGGCCCAGGGAACACCCTTTGAAAACCACTAGTCTACAACTGCACAATGAGCCCCCATGTCCCCTGAGGGGAACACTGGCATTTTACCTGTGGCCAAGTGAGGAAGGGAAGGAGTCCACACTTTGAGACCCCAGAAGTAGCTACAARGAAACCAAATGTGTCCCGTGTTGGAGATGCCAGTTTCCTGACCCAAGGGTCCAGGGTTCACAAAGTCACCTTTTGGACTTTCTCCAAATGGTTTAGTGAAAGTGATGAATCTGCTGAGGACCCTGAAGGGCTGTCCTCAACCCCCAAGTGRGCACACAGATGTTACCTTACAGAACAGCATCAGCAGGACCCAACTGACCTGCCCTCAAAACCCCTGCACCCCAGTCATTAATCCCTCGGTGACATCACTAACGTGGCAGGTCCGGAGGGCTTTGTGCCTCCTCAGCCTCCTGTAATCATTTGTAGCTACAGTACAGAGAAGGACTCAGTGGACCAGAGAGGGAAACTCACCTGCCCAAGTTCACCAGCCCTAGAATCACCAAGGAATCAACTCACTGTATTCACTGAGGGTCARACGCTATTGGGAACATGGTGTCTTAAAGTACAGACTTTAAGTTGGACRTTGATGACCTGGAGAACCACAGGCACCTGGAAGTGAGGTCACACGGGACGTGCTTATGGGCGGAGGTGGGACAAGATTTGGCCTGGGATTCAAGAGCCTAAGCAAACATCTACGAACATCTGGAGGATACTAGACAGAGAGAGGAGATCTTGCAGCAGTTGTGTGTGTGTGTGGTAGGGGGCTGGGCGGATTAGGAATCCAGATAGAGTCTCCAACAATCAGAAGAGTCACAGAAGGGGACCACTGATTCTTACAGACCTGCCTTCCCACACCTGCGCCCCCAGAGGTGCCCAGGGTTTTGCAAGGAAGCTGTAGAACTGTGATTCTAACCATTTGGAACCAAGGGACGGGACGGGTCAGCACTAGACCTGAGAGACTTTGTTCCACTACCCTCCCCCGCCCCCAGGCATTCTGGGAAGCCTCCAATCACCGAGACCAGGGTCTGTGCTTTCCCTTAGTCACACACCCACCGGCTGAGTGCCCATTAACCTCTCTGAGTCTCCATTTCCCCTTCCACGCCATGGAACAACGGCACCTCCCCCGGTAGGCTGGCTGCCGTGAGGATTTAATTAGATGCCACACRAGCAGCTCATCATGGGGTGCCTGGCACATAATAAGTGCTCAAGAAATTAACAATTATAGTATCAAAATAGCTATCATTATCACCTTCCTCTTAACACCAAGACCCTTACAGCTCTGGGTGTTAATGACAATATTTATGCTCCCTCGTCAGCCTCAGCCAGTGGTTTTACAACCTGTAATAAGGTCACCAGGCCTTGCTTGACTTCTTTTCACAAAGAAATATCCTCCCAGGAGAACCGCCCGTGTTGATTAATTCAGGTGCAGGGCTCCTCCTCCCTGATGCTGGGGAGTACTTCCTGCTGGGTCCCRGGGAGGAAAACTGTCCCCTGGGGACACAACCAGGGAGGAATGKGACACATTCATTCTTGCATCCGAAGAATTCTCTGCAGCCCTGTCTGCACCAGGAGCCTGCTGCTGCTCAGCCTCCTCTTACACAGCTCTCTGCCTGGTGAACAGCTCTTACTCACCCAGAGGTACCAGTGCAGGTTGCAGAATTAGATGTAAATACTGTTGAGATAAACAACATGACCTTTTCCGTGTCCGTATGAAGGGAAAATGGCACCACGAAACCAAAGAAAGAAGGGGGGGGGGGAGTGTTGGAAGGAGATTCTTTATCATCGTCCAAAAAATGGATCTGAATTCTGCTCAGCAAAGAACCGCTCCCCCAAAGTTGTCTGCTAAGACAGTTACGATAATTGCATCAATACAACAGAAACTCAATAGCAATTGTTTTTCCTGCTAGGTGCCGAAGGTGGGCTGTGCCAGGGAGTGGCCAAGCCCGTGCTGGCACCCAGTGACTTGGTGCATGAATCTGAGAGCACCTGCAGACGCGTTCAGGTAGGTGCCTCGATGTCTACCTGACAGCCAGCGTTCAACGCATGCGCAGTGGGCGCCGCCCAGAGACCCGTTTTACTTACAGCTTTGGGTTTGTATGGAGGCTGAATCTCCTTGCGTTCAAGTTTCTCCCAATCAATATACCGGAAAAATGCATGCTCTTTGATGTCACGTTCCCCTTCAGGGCCACAACCCAGACGTTTGCCTGGGTGCTTGGTCATCAGCTTCAAGAGAAAAGACAAAAAAAAAAAAAAGAAAAGAAAAAAAAATGTTGAATCAACTTCAGAGAAGGAAATGTGAGACCTGCAGAAATTATTGTTCCAATGACTCTGGAAAGAAAGCACCATGAAGAATCTCAGGATATTTATTTATTCATTTATATTCCTTTTCATTCCGGCAATAATTTCCTAACCAGGTCTTCATGGGAGAGGACCCCAATACAGCGCCGGATGCTGCTCACCTCAGAGCAAGATCCCTGATGGCTAATCACACCAAAGCACAAATCTGGCCCTGAACTCGAAGTTAGAAATGTCCCAGGATCCATTCTGGTCCAAGAATGAGTGTTCTGCCATTATTGGTGCATCTACTGAGAACAGTTTCCATATCTTCTAGCTCCCCTCCTCCCAACCAGGAGAAAACTGACCTTTGACCAAGGCCAAGGACATATTCATTCAGAAACTATTTGCTTTTCTCAGTAAAGCACTTGTGGAAATGACAAAACAGGAAAATATATATATATATATATATATATTAGTCAAATGGACCCAAGCTTCAAGTAATTACTTTCAGAAAACTCATTACACAGTCAAAACCTAGCCCAGCTCATTCCCCCGATCACACATTATACTGAACTCCACTGAGGTTTCTTTGGTGTTCTGTTTAAATTACTTAATTATCAAAACTCTCCATCTTTGGGTCTCTGAGCCAGTGCTAAATAACAAGATGAATAGATGCTCTGAGACGAAACCAGACAGCCTTCCTCTTACCAATGAACCCAAAGAGGCCAGAGAATATCTCTTGATCTCAGGACTTCAGCAAATGCACAGAGAGGAAAGATGGACAGGTTGATGATTTAAAAAAAAAAAAAAAAAAGAAAAAGAAAAAGAAAATCCTGACGGGAGGCACCGAGAGAGGAAACCAAAGCAGCCGGAACACACGAGCCCAAGAAACTTCCCAGAGTTGAGCTGACCCCGGACATTTTGCCCCGCGCTGGCTGATTACAGGAAAGGAATGAACCAGAAACTCACACCTCTGCAGCTTATAGTGCCCATTTGCTGCTCATGAGATAATCAGTGGTCCCATACACAGGCACACGCTTTCTGTATCTGCTTTACCTTCCAGGATGAAAAGTAATTGACGTTGATGTCCTAAACTACTTCTTGTATGGATAGGCGTGACCTTACCTGATTGTCACCATAACACCATGATGGGGGTACACTACCACCCCCATTTGATTGACCAGGCAGTGGACACCCAGCCAGCTATGAGAGATTGGATTCYACCTCTGCTTAGCTCCAAAACTGGGGCTTTAAAGAACAATGAGAGAGCTGGGCGCAGTGGTAYACACCTGGGAGGCTGAGGCAGGAGGATTGCAAGTTCGAGGCCAGCCTCAGCAATTTAGCAAGGCCCTGAGCAACTCAGTGAGACCTTGTCTCAAAATAAAAAATAAAAAGGGCTGGGGATGTGGCTCTGGTTAAGTGCTCCAGGGCTCAATCCCCAGTACCCCAAATAAAGTAAAATAAATATATAAAAYGTGTGGTGGTGGGGGTGTGTGCTTTGCGTGTGGTTTCTCAGGGATATTTGTGGTCTGGCTGAGTCAGGGAAGGTTGATGGAGGGAGGGCAAATTGAGCCAAGTCTTGAATTTTGTGTAGAATTCAAATGAGAAGAAAGAGCTCAGGGGCTTTGGTAGCCCTGATAATAGATAATAACAGCTTCTAGGTCCTGAGCATGTCGTATGTCTGAGCTAAAAGTTTCCCAGCCATTATTTATSTCTCTTTAATCTTTACAATAACGCTCCGAGGTTTTGGCAACGACACCCCCCMCCCCCSCCCSYTTTTTCCAGATACTCAGTTACTGGTTCCAGAGAAGTCAAGTCATTTGTCTGAAGTCACACAGCCAAGGAGCCGAGTTGGGGTTTGAACAGAACTATCTGACCTAGAGTTCCCCGCGGCTCTGTGTAATCAGCCTCTGATTGTTTCCACTCCGACAGGCGACAGACAGGAGGCCAGCCTGGGTGTCTGTCTGTTTTATGCTTGTTGGAAGTGGGCTTGGCAATCGGAGCAAAGTTCAACTCATTTTCTTTCTTTGTTTTTTTTTTTTTTTTGATGGTAGAAAGTAGGGCCTGCCGTGAGCTGGACGTAGAATGGACATACTTCAACTGTTTTCAGAGGCCCMGGCTTTGCTCAGTGATAAGCAGGGGGGACAGATGCCCAGTGAAGAAATGCCACTCCAGACACATCGAGCTCTAACTCAAGGTCTCTGCCCGCTTCCTGGACTCTGCTTGGATGCGCCTGAAGCCATGTAGACAGCCGGATTTAATCACTGTTCCATCTCTGACCACCTCCCAGACACGTCCCCGGGGGGCCCYTGTTCAGGAGGAAGCGTGGGGCCGTCCACTTGAGCACCTCCCCTGCTCCAGAGCATCGACCTTGAAGGAAGAGCCAGCTTTGGACTCGGCCCACTCGACTCAGAGAGGTYCCCAACCCAACAGCCGGAAAGTCACCCCCAGTTCATCCTGAAGGTTATGGGTCCTGAATTAATAGGAAACTGCTCTAGCAGGCACACTGCTAATTGGAGCTGAAGCTGAWTGCAGCTGACCTGGAAAATTCTCTCTCCTCCATGACCCACTTAGAACCCCCAGCCGTCCTGGCAGGGCAGGCTGGGGAAGGGGAAGCCCCTGGGCACGCACTGAGCACCTACTCTGTGCCGATACCACACCAGGAGCTTCCTGTTACCTGACCTCACTGAACGCTCTCCAAATCTCTGCTCAGCGAGGACTTTCGTCCCGTTTTTAGAAATAAAGAAACACGGGTCCAGAGAGACACGAACGAATTTGCTCCAGACCGTGCACCTGAAGAGTGAGAGCATAAGGATTTGCAAAAAGTCTCTTCATCTCCCAAATCCCCACACGGTCAAAGTCTTCTTTCGGGGGAGGCCAACTCCATGCCAAGAGGAGCCGGGCTGGTCACGGTGCCAGCCTTAGTCATAGTAAGAATGGGACAGAGTGCTTGCTCGGCTCTGGTCTCAGGGATTGGCAGGTATGAACTCATTTCATCATCAGAGAACTCTACGTGTGGTGCTGCGGTTATCCTCCATCCACAAAGCAGGTCAAACAACTCATTAGGTTAATAATGCTTGGACCTGGATTTGAACCCAGGGAACTGGGCCAAATGGGGTTTTTGCAAATTGGAGGAGGCGTGTCTGGTTAGAAAGGAAGTAGTGGTTTCCGATCCAGCTGAATGAGGCTTTGCAGGCATGACGGGCCAACGTGACAAGGTCTGATTTTTTTTTTTTTTTTTTTTAAGAGAAGCTAGAAAGGGCTGGGGTTGCGGCTCAGTGGTAGAGCACTTGCCTTGCATGCGTGAGGCTCTGGGTTCGATCCTCAGCCCCACATAAAAATAAACTAAATAAAGGTATTCTGTCCATCTACAACTACAAAAAAAAAAAAATTTAAAAAGAGAAAAGCTAGAAATCTCCTTATTTTAAATGCTGGGAATTACTAAACCAGCTAACCCTGGCCCCAGTAAAAAGACCACAGTGGTCTCACCAGCCTTGGGCTGTGCCCTCAAAARTCCATGGGCTTTGCTGAAGCTCTTCATGAACCCTGGGTCTCCTCTCTGCCCCTCATTTGTTCCGGTCCCTGTCTCACACCCTCAAAGAAGATGTTTTCAACCAATTCACTTTAGGGGTGTTGGAGACACCCCGTGGCTCCCCCAGACATGTTTGCACCTTGACCTGTGGCTGAAACGCAAGGCTCCGGATGTAGGTGCCACGAGACAAGGWGCTCTTGGGCTAGAGGCTGGCCCCGCTGTGACAGTCTGAGCCAAGCCTCAGGCGGATCTGGCTGATTGTTCCAACTGTCCTTYACCAGGGCTGGCTCTGACGGGGGTCAGGAAGAGCAGGGCTGGGTAGGGCATTGCCAAGATCTAGGGGCACAGGCCTCCTGCATTCAGACCTGCAGATGGGAGCCCACTGTGAGGCACAGCGGGGGTCTAACCTGGAGAACTCGTCGGCACCCATGGATAGGAGGAAAAAACCCTTCTGGGGGATGGGTACTGGGAWTTGAACTCAGGGGCACTCGCCCACTGAGCCCCATCCCCAGCCCTATTTTGTATTTTATTTAGAGACAGGGTCTCACTGAGTTGCTCAGAGCCTCGCTGTTGCTGAGGCTGGCTTTGAACCTGCCATCCTCCTGCCTCAGCCTCCCSAGCCGCTGGTATGACAGGCGTGTGTCCCCGCGCCCATCCACAAACTCTTTTCAAAGGCMACATCCTTGGGCCATATTTTCTGAGGTTCTCATGGTATCGCTTTTGCACTCCCATCAGAGTTGAAAAACGATTTCTTTTGGACGTGTCGAAAGGGAGTGGTTTTCAAGCCTTGTGGGAACTTGGCGAAATATTGTAAATACACAGAATTAATCTCCGGGGGAAGGCTGAGCCCTTGCATTCTGAAAAGTCACTTCAGGTCACTGATGGCTCCAAAGGAGGGGACCACTCATCTCTAGTGTCTCACACACATCACCAGGAGCATGTCTGAGTCCAGAGGATCCTCACCTGGAAATCTGCACCTGGCTTTGGTCACAGGTGCAATCGGCATAAGCAGCAGGTGTTTGGCTGTGCCTGCTCTTTGTATGCTGGGAGTTGGAGGGGGAATGGGGACTTGGGGACACTGGATTGGGGTCAGCTTTTCTACAGGATCCCTTCAATTCAATTCTGCTTGGTGTTTTCTTGGGACACGCTCTGAGTATTAACTAAGCACACGTGCAGCAGAGCAGGGCCAGGGACACGTAGCCATGCCCCTCCTGGTCCCAGCTCTTCACAGTACTGCCCATGAAGCATCCCTTGGGCGGGGCTGGGGGCTGGGGGCTGGGGGCTGCTCATCAGCAAGACGCCATGACAGGCCCTCCTCTCTAGAGCTCTGTGCAAATAAGGGTGAGCTCTCTCTCCTCTGGGAGGTAGCAACTCCTCTCCAGGGCTCTCTGATTGGCAAGGGAAGAGGAGGAGGGTTTGGTTGTTGGTCCCCTCTAGTAGGACACATCCTGCATCCTGGTAGGTGATGTCCCGGCCACGGGCTTGAAGGGCCCTACTCACCCCTTTGCAGATGGCCACRGCTTCCTTGGACATGGACTTTGGATAGGCCACATTGTGCTCCATGATGGACTGGAAAAGTTCGTCCTCATCCTCCCCTTCGAACGGTGCCTGTGGGCAGAGGGCCGGTGGGAAAGGGATCCCCTGCCTGCACCCTCCCCCGGCTTCTCCCAAACAGCAGGTCCTCCTCCCCGGGCCTCAGGGGAGGCCCCTCTCCAGGACTTTCAGGGAGATGAGAAGAAATGTCCAACCAACGAGGATCACCCCCAAGGCCAGGGAGGCGGAAGAGGCTCAGGTTTTTGAGCTGTCACTGGGTTTGAAAGAAGCCACGCGGCTGGGAGTGGAGGAGCGCTTTTTCTTACAGATCACTTCAAGTTCAATTACCTGCCCGGCCARCATCTCATACAGCAGGACTCCGAAGGCCCACCAATCCACGGACTTCCCATAGGGTTGGTAAGCGATTATCTGGAAAACAGAAAGCAAAAGTCAGCAAGGCTGGCCGTGCACGTGGCTGGACGTGGGACTCACACCTCCTTCACCCTCAGAGTGGACCTTCCCCAGAGTGCGTGTGTGTGTGTGTGTGTGTGTGTGTGTGTGTGTGGAGGGGGGTTCTTTGGCATGTCACCTGCTTATTGTGAAAGATTATAGTAGCTGTCACAGTCCCAGGTGCAAGCCAGGTTCTCAAAGATGCAAGCCAGGCCGGTGCCCACCTGAGCTACTCCCTCACCTTAGCTACCCAGGGAATGACAGGCAGAGTGCTTCACAGAGGCACCTGCAACTGGGGGACATCGGTGCATGTCACGTTGCCTTTTTTTTTTTTTGAGCACTGGGAATGGTGTTTTTATTTTTATGAATTTATTTATTTAATTCCAGAGCAGCGTGTACGGCCTTTTAAAGAGGAAAAGCCATTTTTTTTATTTCTCATTGTACAGGTCAAGTCGCTTACACAATAATGTGAAGATCTTTCACACCGCTGGACTGCACACTCAGATGGCCAAGATGGTAAATTTTATGCCGCGTGGTTTTAAAATCACAATCAAAACAAAGACAACAACAACAAAATGTCTCGAGAGTAATGACGTGTGTTCCTATTTATACAGATCATCTCGATAAGCTTAAAGAATAAAATGTCAAGAGAAAAATCAGGACTCCTCCTATCGGGTCCATCTCCTTCCTAGCTCATGGGTGGTTTTGCATAAGCAGAAACACTTTAGTAAGTGGAACCTTTAATCAGGTAAGCTATTCACTTAAGTTTTCTTTGCTAATATCCGTACAGTACACTGACATCATTGGTTATAGGATTCCGCTGAATACATATGCCAACATCTACCTTGTGGATTCCCGATATTTTAAAGTTTCTTCTGGGGCTGTAATGCGTATTCTTATGACTAGCTATTTGGACATCTCTTCAGTGATTTCCAAACATTAAATTTCTAGAAGTAGAATGAGAGGGGACCAGATGGTATATGCAGTTGTAAGGGGTTTGGTGGCGAAGACCAGACAGCTGTGTGGACAGAGCAGCTGTCAACCTTTCAGTATGTAGGAGTGTAAACATGACGGGTCAAAGGGGTGAAGAGGCGATAGAGCAAAGGTCAAGGGTGGAGGTTTGTGGGTCAGACAGTCTAATTTTGAATCYCAATTGCTATCTGCCGGGGACATAACCCCCGGTGGAAGTTACTTCTTTAAGCCTCGGTTTCTTCTTYTATAAAGTGGAGTTTACCATGACATTGACTCCATGAGGTCTTGTGGGGATGAATAGGCTACYGGGTGCCTCTCACGGATGATGCCCTCACAGTATTCGCTTTTACTGGAAGGTTCTCTAATCCAGTTATTGATTGTCTTAGTCACTAAAAGTGCCAGAGCCAACCTGACTATAAAGCAAATATCTTTCTCCAGCTCCATCTCCCACCCCGGTTTCCACTCCAAAAATCAGAAATGCAGAGAAGATGGTCCAAAGACACAAAATTTCAGGTAAAATAAGAATAAAATAAGTTCCAGACACCTATTTATTGTGCAGAGTGGTGATCAGAGTTAATAACGATGATTTGTATTCTTGACAATTTGGAAAAAAAAAGTGTCATTTTTAAGTGTTCTTACTATAAAAATAAAGGTGAGGTCGTGCACATGTCAATTAACTTGATTTAATCTGTTCCCTCTGTGTCTCTCGCTTCCACGATGCACCCACATTTCAAAACACATGGTAGGTACGTGGCGGATGGATGTGATTTTGATTGGTCAATTAACAATAAATAAGTGGAGAAAGAGGTAAATGAATAAATAAAAGAGGCAGTCTGAGGAGTAGTATTGGATCCTCATGACCACCCCACAAGTCSATCCTTTTACAAAGGAAAACGGAGACGGGGAGGTGAGAGAAGACGTGGCCAGAGGCGGTGCAGTTAGCCACAGCAGAGCCTGACCTGGGGGAGGACAGGCCACTCATATTCCAGAGCCGCTGGGGCTTCCTGGTCCACCCTCCGCTCCCCTGGGAGCTGTGAAACCACAGGTCCTGCGCCCCGCCCTGCAGAGGCTCGAGTTCAGTGGCTCTGGGGGTGATGCCTGGACATCCTCCATTTTAAAATGTGTCCCCCCCACCCCCACCACTGAAGTGTCGCTGGTGTTGGGTCCTAGAAATCACCAAGCTCATATCCAGGAATTGGGCTCTAGACTTGTCAGACGTCCTGATTAACTAAGAAAATGTTAATAGATGAAAGGAGGCCACACTGGGACACCTCTACTAGGCCCTAATAAAGAATTGATTTTTTAAAAAAGATTACCTTGCTGTTACTCAAGGAATACACAAACATATTTGCCTTGTGGGAAATACAAACAGCCAGAGATGGGTCAGAATCTCCTTTCACCATCCACTTATTCCCTGAGCTCACGGATGTTGTAAACACAACCTGTCATCTTCCAAATGTCCGATGCCTTACCCTGCAGATCTGCATCCTCACGGAAAACCTACAGACRGGCTCTGTGTGTGTTATCGTCATTGTCCATAAATGACATTGTATTGGATTCCCCATTCTCTAGTTGGATTCTTTTTTTCTCTTAAGAATCTGGTTTTAAGATATTTCTGTATCTACACATATATGTCACTCTTTTGAATCAGTGCCTAGTAGTATTTTRTACTATGAATAAATCACAGTGGACTGTCCTAACCCTGTGGAGGGACACTGGTTCCTTCCAGGACATGCAGATGTATTTGCATGCACTCGGCTGTGTGGTCTGGCCTTCCTAGGGCCGTACAGGACTTCCTAACACCAATGGTGCTCCGTTGAGCTAATTATTCCTTTATCGACAGTCATTTTATCCCATCTTTCACGGTTAACAAATAAAGCTGGGATGGAGGAAGGACTTTGAACACACCTCTTTCTCCGTGTGTGTGTGTGTGTGTGTGTGTGTGTGYGYGCTGATGCGTGTCTGTGCGCATGTCTGTGCGCACGCTCACGCATACAAGTCTGGTGTTTGCAAATTAGCTTCTTCTAAAAGGAACTGCTTTGTCACCAGAGCGTGCAGGTTTAAAATCATATGTCAACGTCTTTAATTACATGGGGACGCCTATCCCCACTGTTACATATCAAGTGTCTGGCAGTCAAGAAGAGCGATTCTAGAATGTCTGTTTCTGAGACTCTGCGCCTTTCCTTAAAAAAAAAAAAAAAAAAATGGGAGAGAAAAAAAAAATCTGGCGACAGATTGCAACATGCCACTTTTCTAAGCCACCAATTCAGAGAAAAAGGGAAAGGGACCGACCGCCTGGTACAAATTATTGTGCCTGGTCATGCTGGTCATTCACTGACCACTTCCTTCGGGAGGAGAGGCCGGCACCGCCTATAGATCTTCACCCTGGTGTTTATGTCTTTATCGCGGGAAGAAAAGCCTGGAGTCTCCCAGGGTTTATGACAACTGCCACACACACACACACACACACACACAGTCGCAGCCCTGTGTCATATGTCAGCCCAGGGAATCTGTTCCCTGTGTGTCTCTCGCTGTCTCAACAAACGCTTCCATGTCATAATTAGGAGGTATCATATGGCCACGAGCCATAGCAGCTTGACAGAGAAGCCTACTGATGTGTGTTGGATGGTTCTTTTGCGTTTTATTTAAATTCTCTCCTAAACCTTGATGTATTTTGGGCCTGAGCATCGGGATGTGTGCTGAGTTAATTTGCATGTGAGATCTCAGAGGAGCGATTCAGAGCCCAGGATAAGGACAAGACTGGGGTTTGCTTGCCAGGTACCACCCTCGACCCTTCCCAGCCCTCACGAGGTCAGCGGGGGACATGGTCACGGGGTCCGTGTGCCTCCGGGGTGGGTCCCAGCAGCTCTCACCTCGGGGGCAATGTAGTCCGGAGTCCCACAGAACGTCTTGGTGGTCACGCCGTCCCAGATGTTCTCCTTACACATGCCAAAGTCGGCGATCTTGATGTGGCCCTCGGAATCCAGCATCACGTTGTCCAGCTTCAGGTCCCTGTGGCAGGGGCGAGAATCGGGGGATTGAGTGGAACGATGCTCTTTTCAAGTCAACCGACTGCCACTCAGAAAACGTGGTGCAGGGTGGCGTGGGGGTACAAAGGTGGCCGTAAACCAGCTCTTGCCTGCCCCCCGGGCAGCTCACGATCTGGTAGAGAGATCAAAAAGAGGGGGCTCCCTCTCCCACCTCTGTGCCTTTCTTCTCCTGCAGAGCCAGCTGGGCCCGGTGCTCACAAAGACACAACGAGACAGAAGCTCCGAGAACAGAGAGACCCGCAGGAAGCTGACCAGAGGCAGAGTTCCCCGAGCTGACCTTTGCAACCTGTGGACCCCTTATGTTTTACAGGAAGCTGCCGTTTCCATACAATTGTGATCTTTCAAGATACCTCYGAAGATCACGGAGGAAGACAACTGATTTGAGAGAAAACTCTCTAACTCCAAAGGCCTCAGGATCCCCCAGGCTGATGGCTAGGATGGGGGGACCCAGGTGTTTCCATGGATTCTTTCCATGAAGAAAGAAAATGTCTGCTGGATGCTGACTCCATGACAGGAGCCATTCTTGGAGCCGGGTATATGTTCSCTGGGGACACAATTAACAAGCCTGTTTTTATTCTGATTAAATTCTAGTGTGTGTGTGGGGGGGAAAGCATAATTAATAGGTATTCAAGTGTATCATCATGATTGTTGTAGATTCTGATAGACGATAGGAAGAAAAAGAGGACAGAGAGATGGCCATGGGGGAGCCGGGTGTGGTGGCCCAGGCCTGTCATCCCAGCAACTCGGGAGGCTGAGGCAGGAGGATCGCTAGTTCAAAGCCAGCCTCAGCCACTTAGCGAGGCCCTGAGCAACTCAGCAAGATCTTGTCCCTAATAAAATATTTTAAAAGAGCTGGAGTGAGGCTCCGTAGTTAAATGCCCCTGGGTTCAATCCTGGGTACCCCCCAAAAAAAGACAGAGAGAGAGAGAGAGAGAGAGAGAGAGAGAGAGAGAGAGAGATGGCAGTGGGGGAGGGGCACTTTAAGCAGGTGCTCTGGAAGGACCTCTCTCAGGTAGTGACATCTGAGCTTTAGCAGAAGTCTGGGTGCCCACTCTCTTCCTGTTGTCTACATCTGCGTTGGTGAGGAAAGCCTGATATTTTGGGGGAACCCCTGAATCTCTCTATACACTAGATCACTCCAATCCTCAATTCTGACTCTGACTCCATGCTTTGTGCTTCTGCAGCTGTGAGCAGGGGACAATCTCTGGGTCGGGCTGTTCCCGTCCTAATAGAGGATGGAGAAGTCCAGTTCCCCCAGAGGTAAGAGCTCGGTTCAGGGGTCTCCCCCGGATCATCTCGGTCAGGTGGTGGGTGTCTGCGGCTACTGCCTGTTCTAGCCTCTGGGGATGAGACCATCCTCCTTTGAACAACCACCTTTTGATCCTCCGGCTGAGCAAGGTGGGTGGTACTGACCTCAACTCCTAGCCCCTGGTCACGTGGCCTGTCCTGGCCAGTGGAAATATCCCATCCTGCTAGTCACCGTGATTGGTTCAGGAAAGGGACCCAATCTGCCACCACAGAAACACCTGGCACTTTTKCAGGTACCATGAGGGAAGAGAGAAGCTCTTTTCACACTGGGATGGCTCAGGGGGTGGAATTTGGGCCTAGAAGCTACAGGGGTCACCATGTATGCAGATGGGAAAGCTATGAAGGCAGAGCAGAGCAGAGTGATCCAGGAAGTGCCATGAACATCGTTTGAACAGCTGCATCCTTGACACCAGCCAATCAAGACCCCTGCATCCTTGACACCAGCCAATCAAGACCCCTGCATCCTTGACACCAGCCAATCAAGACCCCTNCCCCTGCATCCTTGACACCAGCCAATCAAGACCCCTGCATCCTTGACACCAGCCAATCAAGACCTTTTGTAACTTAAGTTTGAACTGATCTGCCATGATCACTTCCAACCACAAGGACACAGGTTGGACTTTCCTTGAGGGCCTGTGAGGTCCCTTCATCCAAAGGGAGGTCCATTTGCACCCACCATTCGCCCACAGCCACGTTATTTCCATTCTGCTACCCTGGGTGCTGTCCATGGTACCACCCAGGTCCAGGGTGCATGCTTACCTAGAAGCCATGGTGATCTCTGAATGCTGAACCCTGCAGCATCTTGATTGATCTCCATACACTCACCCTACATGTGACTTCACTATAGAAATCCACGACCTCCTTCCTCTTGGCTTGACAACATGCCCAGAAATGAGCCGCCGGGTCAATCAGAGACATGAGAACATCTTCATTTAATATAGCGAAGGAATTTCAGATGCCAAGAGCCACAGGTCTTGGGGCTGGAGAACACCCAGTCTTATCCATTGCCTTTGATATTATACTGTATTCCTTGGTTCTAGGTACTAAATTCTCATTTCTGCTTCAAAAGGTGGCTGGGGCAATTTTTTTTTTCATTTTCAAAAAAAAAAAAAAATACAGGGCAGAATCCACACGTATTTCYAGGGAAAGTGGTCAATAAATCAGATCCTCCATTGGACAGGCAGGATCCATGGCGGACACCCTCCCCACCCACCGTATCCAGCTACTATCCTCAGAGAGGGGGAACTCTAACATAATTCTTCATCCTCTTAAGAACCGTCCAATGAAATAGAGATCTAAAGGAAGGAGGGAGTGATTGGAAAAGCTTTACCACCATGATGGCATTATCTATGAAATTATAGAGCCACACATCTCTTGTCCTGTGATTTCTTTTTTACAGTTTTCAATTGATCATCAATTTCGAGAACTCCATCTCCCAGCATCTCCAGCATCTCTGAGGAGGTGGGGAGGCCACAGAGCCAGATACAATGCATGATTATGATGCATAACTGGTCCCCCGAGGACCACCGGACACGACTCAGGCTACCACTGGACGTGACTAAGGATACTGCCAGACACCAGTGTGGACTCATTGTCCTTGGAAATCCTAATACTGCCAAGAACCACATCTCCTCCTGGCTCTGAAAACTAACTCTTCCAGACCACGACAGTTGCTCTCAAATCCATGGTCCAAATCCATGGTCTTGGTTCCTTGGTCACTAGTTTCTGGATCAAGACCTTAGGTGTGATAGGTGTCTGATCCTGCATCACATATAGACCCTGGGTGCAGGGAGATTGTGGCAGTAGCATGTAGCAGCCCCAACCTTTATAGGACCAAATGACTCTGTTCTTGCAAAGAGAATGATTCAGATGCCTATTGGCTTAAAATATTGATACAGATTCCTCTAAGAACTATATTGATCATGGTGCGTAAGTAGGTTAGGGGGAAGGGCTGTATGGTCGTAGGGATGGTCTTAGCACCTGAGATGCTCATCTCTGGGTTTTAGGACCAGCTTGGCCAGTGCCACCAGGATCTATGAACCCCAGATCCTAATCTGACTCCCTGTTAGACCAGGAACTCGCCCTAAATCCCAACACGGTTGACGACAACTCTACTTTCTCCCTGGGTTCCCACCCTGGGGCTGGATTTTCTTGGAATACACTYGTAACTCTGTTCTTCTGGAGGCTTTCCCTGCCCAAGAGGGAGGCAGGACCTAATGTCAGCCTACAAAGTGAAAATGTTCTCCCCAGGACAGCCGAGGGGAAACCGAGGACCAGAGGACTTGGGTGTCTCCTCTCGTGCTGATGCGGAGATCCGTGTGCGGGCTCCGTGCACGGAGGGCGAGCATTGGCAAAGCGGCCTTACTATCTAAAAGTATCCAGGGGGCCCAGGACCTCCCAAGACACCTCTAACTCCAGACCCTGACCTCCAGGCCCTCCACAGAATGACATGGCCCTCCACCACCCAGCACAAACCACTCTACTGAGTTTTATTTTTACTGGAATTTATCACTATTTGGCAGACTCTATTCTGATACATGAATCTGTTTCCCACCATTAATATATAAGCCCCTCGAAGGCAAGAGTTTTGTCCAATATCTYGCCTGCTGCAATCCCTCCACCCAGAGCAGCACCTAGCACAGAGYAAGATGAATGAATAAAATGCATTTTCATGGCCCTTGGGCATCTTTTAACCTCACCCATGCCAAGTGCTGTTTGGAAGCCCCCTGCCCCGTGCCACCCTCTCTTGCAATAAGAACCCATCCCAAACCCCTGCCATCTCTGTCATATGATTCCGTGTAGCACAAGGAGAATGGCCCACTCTGGACACTCTGACACACAGCAGCCTGGGGCTCCACAGTYGGCCTTGCATGGAATATAAAACGGTATGACTCACGCCGCTCTGATCATACGCTTGCTCCTCCAAAGACTGGCAAATGCCAAGTTCTGAACTTAATCCTGTCTTTCAGAGCGTGCTACTCAGAGATCTATTTCCAAACTGTCGTTAAATGAAAAAAAAAAAGTTTCATAATAATATGATCTGCCACGTCCTGCCCACCAAGATTCTCTACGTACTCCCCCAAAGCTGGGGGTCCACGGGCAAGAGGAAGAAGTCCCYGGGCACCCCCTGGACCAACCTCTTCCTCTTAGAGCAGGTGGCCTCGTGTTGGAGGCCCTGGATCCGTTGGTGACACAGTCCTTCAAGATTTTTCTGTCACCACAGTGAGCTGCCCAAACTTTGCCAGGGCAGTGGGCGAAGCTGCCTGGCAGAACACATGCCCAAGTTAGTCCTGGAGGGTTCCTCCCCCACCGCGGGTGCTAATTTTAAAAGCCGTGGAAGAGAGAGGCAGGGAACGGGGAGGCGCTGGGCCGGGTGCACTTACCGGTAAATGATGCCCTTGCTCTGCAAGAAGAACAGACCGATGGCGATCTCTGCRGCGTAAAACCTGAAACGAAGAAGAGACAACGAGAGATTGGAGAAATCCAAAGACACCTTCTGCTGGGCAGCTGGAAGGAGGGGTAGGGCACTGAAGTCTCCCCTGGACGGTCAGCTGCCCAGCTCGCCAGGGTACAAATGGGTGGACGGGTGCCCCAGAGCCAGGARGACAGACTGGGGGTAGGCAAAGGTTTGTCATTTGCATAGTGGGAGAATCCCATGGGCTCTGAAGGACTGGATGGGGAATGGGAGTCTCAGACTATGGYCAGTTTAAAAMAAAAATCTTTTWAARTTTTTTTGGTGGTGCTGGAACATAAGATCTTTTGAACCCAGGGCCTCGTACATGYGAGGCAAGCCCTCTACCCACTGAGCTGTATCCCCAGCCCAGATAAAATATCTTAATACCAACAGCCAGCATCCATCCGCCTAGTGTCCTATCAGGTGGTCTCTAATTCTCATCCTAATCCTGTGCTATAGGCCCTACCAGTGCCTCCCTGTTCTAATGAGGACCATTGAGGCTTAGGGGGAGGAACTCTTAACATGACGTAGCCAATGGGTGGGGGGCACAGCCAGGACTGGGAGCAACATGGGTCTAAGCATCACTTCTCAGTGAAGGTCCGCCCTGCCAAAAGGGCATCTGAGAGAACCAGGAAGCCCATTTCTGCCGTCAGCGCTGGGCAGGGTTCCGGGGAACGAGGTTAAGCCCTGGCAATACGTCTTCTGGGCTAATGGAACTCAGCCTGTGGTCCATGGATGTCAGAAATGAAAGGGGAGCGAGAGCTATAGCCTGATTAGAATTGTGCCAAGAGAGGCCAACGGCTTGATTCACAAGCACAACCACAACAGGGTGCTCCCGAGCTCAGCAGGTGGACATGAGGGGCCAGCAAGCCCCAGGAGTGACAGGTGGGGGGCCTAGACATGTTCTGGGGACCTTCAGGAGGGGCTATGAGATCCTGTGAACTCCCCAGGAACTGGTGCTGATGCTGATTCCTGTGACCTGCCACGTCTCTGTTCACCCACAGAGTCCTTTAAAATACGTCTCCGTATATTTACTATTTATTGCACAGAGGGATGGGTTTACTGAGGTATTGCCACACACACACACACAGAGGTGCATCTCTTCTTCTCCCTGCCCCCTCTTCCCCCCACCCCAGTTCCTAGTAATCCTCCTTCTTCGTTCAGATCGACATTTTTTTATTTGTTATTTCTTTTTCTTTTTTTTTTTTTAGTTTCATCTATGAGGAAACATGCAGTATGGTTTCTTTCTTTTTCTTTCTGTGTCTGGCTTATTTCACTTGGACAAAAGCAGGGATCTTTGTTCTAAAAAGAAGAGGTCCGGCCGGTTTGTACTCTGAAGGGGACAAAAGAGACTCATCCAAACCTGGCCTCCGTCTCCCTTTCCTGGTCCTTCATCTCCTTGGAGTGAAGCCCTGAGCAAGTTTCCGAAAGTCTCTCAGTCTCCGGTTTCTGTTTGCAAACCAGAGATCCCCACCTGCTAGGGTTGTTGTCAGGATTAAATGAGAACCTGTTTGTTGAACGCCCGGGACCTGGCATAGAGTAAGTGCTCAGTAAATATTAGCGAACCCCCCAACAGAACCTCCAACGACGTTCCCTAAGGAAGCTACGAGTTTCCCCTTACACAGCATGAGGCTCCTTGAACCGGCCCACTTGTTGGATGTGGTACATGAGGTCGCCCCCGTTCACATACTCCATCACAAAATACAGGCGGTCCTGGAGAAAGAGAGAGAGCCAAGGGCGAAGTCAGCATCCTGTGGTTTCTTGGGTTCCAGAAGGAAAGCAGGGACTCGCTGGAATTTAGGATCCCACCTCTCACCAACCCACCCCAGGACTCTGACACATGCTCCACGTCTCCCGGAGTATAAAACCTATGCTATTGGAAGTACGCAAGGGAGGCTAGGTGGAGCGGCGATCGTTCTGAAAATTAATAACTACAATTTTTTTAAGTTCATTTGTGCTGGAAAATATAATTAGCCCACTAATCTTGTGGCTTAATTGATATGACTGTTTAGGATCAGGTTAATTATAACAAAAAAGTGGGAAACGTTATGGAAATAATAGTGTGGGTAGGAGGTAGCTGTGGAAGCCAGCCTCTGTTCATGTCCCCTGCTGCTCATGTCCTTGGATAGCACCTTCTTCCCTCAATGAGTAGGACTGGATCGTGTAACCAGTAGGGGGCACAATTTCAGGGACTAGATCATAAAAGACCTTAGAGCAGCCACATCATGAAGACACCCAAACAGCACTAAGGGCAGGTACCCGGGGTAAGGGGTAGAGATCTCCTGCCAGCAGCCGGCACCAGCTCCCCCATCATGTGTGCGGACCACCTTGGAAGCAGACCCTCAGTTAAGCCTTGGGGGGGGGGCGTGGTCCCAGCCCCCAGCATGACGGCAGCTGCAACTTCATTTGTGATGGAAAGTCAGAGTCTTTGGTGRATAAGCCACCCCCAAACTCCTGACCCACAGAAACTGTGCCATCATCCATGCTTCCTGTTGTCTTCAGCCCGGGAGCTCTGACCCTAGACGACAGTCCACGCAGTCATAGATAACACAGTGGTTAGGAAAGCCCAGACAACACATGCATTTTCAAAGTCTGGGAAATAGTAGCTGAGAAAGACACGTCCAGAGARAGGTCAGGGAATTGGGGCCGGAAAAAGAAATGGGGAGCCCGTTCTGGGCTTCAAGTCAGGGGCTGTGTCCTCCTCCGAGGAAGGTGTGAGCCTGTTCCTGGTCCTGAGACTGGCACATAGTAGGTGCACAGTGAACGAGTGCAGGTTTCTGTAGCAAGGGGGTTTATTTGGGAACGCTGCTCTGCCTCCGGGTGGCTGGGTGGTGTCCAGGCCTCCTCTCTGGAAAGTGGAGGTCAGAGAACCCCAGCTGGGGTCGAATGAGTGGGGCAGAACCCCGTGATCCCCTGCTGTCTGTCTGTCCTTCCACCTGAGGGCGTTTCTGCTAAGTGGATGAATAGCCTCACATCTTCCTAGAGACTTGCGCTCGGGTTCGGCATAAAGGTTTGCTCCTTCCTTTCGGTCTGCGATGGCGGGGTCTGCACCGACTATTTGTAGTGCTCATGTTCTCTCAGCCTAAAAAAACACACTTCCTTAACCCACCCGATCTAAATTAGGTCTGCCTGTTACATTCCTGCACGAACCTCTGTGGGCTTTTTTTTCCCCCCTCTCATCCCATCATAATTGGTAATTATATATTTAACCCAGTGATTCTTTCTCTATGTATTCACTAATTAAATTTAAAATATTTATAAAGCCCTCCTGGGTACCAGGTCAGAGGTGCGGGGGGAATGAATCAGGGAACAAAATCAACAACAACTCCTTGTCTTTATCTTTCTTCGACTAGGATAACATCGATAAAGAGCACATTAGACATAATATATACATGATATAGAGTGGTAGAGGGAATTAAGTACTAGGGAAAAAAATCAAAAGATTGGGAATGCCAGATGGATGAGGGATGGAGGAAAGACTTCCAGATTCCATCAAGGGCTCAGGATAAAACTTACTGAGAAGATATTTCAGCAAAGATTTGGAGGAGGTGATAGAAACAGCTATGCAGAAATCGAGAGCAAGAGCCTATCGGGGTGGTGGAAACAGCCGGTGCAAAGGCCCTGAGGCTAGCATGCACCTGATGGGCTTTAGGATCCACAGGGAACTGTGTGATTAGACAAGAGAGGAGACAAGATGGGAGAGGAGGCCAGAGAGGCTACGAGGGACTCAGATCACATAAGGCTTAAGGATCTTAATGYAAGGTTTTGCTTTTTCACTCTCAAAAAGAAAAAAATTGTCTAAAGTTCCACAAAGCCAGGGACATGTCAAATTTATTCATCACTGTGTACCAAGTAGCCAGCACCACACCTGGCCAAAGCAAGCCATCAGTGTACATGACCTGGGCAAATGAACAGAAGACAGTGGGCCTCTAAATGGGAGGGCCGCCGTCTGGCGCCAGTTTCTAGTGGGGCGGGCTTGGGAAGACCCCTTTCTTTCCCTGAGTTTTGATCCCTTCACTTGTAAGAAGAGGATGATATCAGCACCCATCCCTAACAGAGCCAGTGAGGGGCTCAGATCAAGCATGCCCCCCTYCCCCGCTGCAAACTATCAATGAGACACAGATAAGATGCCGGAGTTATCGAAGCCCAGATCAGTGCTGAGCAAACTCGAGTTGTACAGCACCTTAGCTGATCATTAGACGCACTTGGCGGGGTCGMTGAGAAAGAAAGAAAAAAAGAAAGAAGGAGGAAGGAAGGAAAGAAAGAAAATGGAATCGAAATGATCTGCGTCTCCTGCACCACGAAGAATTCTTTTGTGAAAGGCRGGTTCGGGTGGACTGATGGGTGGGTGTGGCTGGGTCAGGATGTGGAAGGTGGTTTGCTATCAAAACGCCGAAGCTCTTGTGAGGAGCTATAAAATCCCAAGAGCTGGGGGGAGGAAGTGGGGTGTAGGGCAAAGATTCCACCCTGGAAATCGCTACAGGATCTGAAGCCCCATGCCTCTGCTAACTAACTGTGCACCCCACCTGCTCCCTCCTCACCTGGAAACTCCACCTTCTACCCCTGCCCCAGAGCGAAATAAATAACATGGCATTTGGAAAGTGTCCAGCACGATGTTGGCCATATAATAAATGTTCCATCTACCACTTACAATAATCTTTGAGGTGCACAGAGCTCTATTTTACAGACTCATAAGCCAGCGTATGAGCAGTTTGTCAAACGTGTGTGGAGTGCCTAATTATAGTGACCACATGGTGAAATATATCTACCATCTTGRGGGCACGCCATAGGTGACTAGGTGCTTCGTATATTTTTGTCTCACTCATTTCTAAACAACCCAGAGTGACCAGTATTATTATCATTCTTCCTAATTGAAGAGATGGGAATGAAGGCCTGTCATCCCAGCGGCTCGGGAGGCTGAGGCAGGAGGATCTCGAATTCAGAGCCAGCCTCAGCCAAAGCGAGGCCCTAAGCAACTCAGCGAGACCCTGTCTCTAGATAAAATACAGAATAGGGCTGGGGATGGGGCTCCGTGGTTGAGGGCCCCTGAGTTCCATCCCTGCAACCCCCCTCATCCCTCCCCTCCAAAAAGGAGATGGCATTTGGAACTCAGAAGGGGTAAGGGGCTTACCCGAGGTCGTTTATCTGGTAAGCTGCCCAGCCAGGATTCRAACCCGTGCAGTTTGGATTCAGAGTCTCCACTCACAACCTCTCCCCGGGCTTCCCCGCCGTGAGGTTCTGAGGTAGCCGTGGGACGGATGGATGCGTGGATGAGGACTCCCTTCAAAGAGCTCTCCGTGCAGAATCGGGGTGCACAGTTAGTTAGCAGGGGCATGGGGCTTCAGATCCCGTAGCGATTTCCAGGGTGGAATCTTTGCCCTACACCCCACTTCCTCCCCCCAGCTCTTGGGGTTTTATAGCTCCTCACAAGAGCTTCGCCGTTTTGATGGCAAACCACCTTCCGCAGCGTGGCCCAGCCACACCCACCCATCAGGGTCACCCGAACCCGCCTTTCACAAAAGAATTCCCCGTGGTGCAGGAGACGCAGATAACTTCTATTTCAAATTTGTGTTTGCTTTTAAAAAAAAAATTAAATTTATTTATGTATGTATTTTAATCAGGTCTCTATGACAGCAGAATGTCACACTAAGCCACTTTAGCCAATCCCCCAAAAAACAAAGGCCGAACAGGAGTCCTCTCTTATGGTCCGTGGAGGCCGATCCCTAAAGCAGAAGGGGTTGTGCGTGGGGAAGATTGCGTCTGCTTTTGAACCCGGGACCCTGTGCATGCCAGGTGAGAGCTCTACCACCTGCCGTCGCGACCACTCCTATTTCACACATCGAGACAGAGCTGACAGGTGACGAGGACGAGCCCTGAGCTAACTGGTTTTTTTCAAATGATTTTCTCTCTCTCTCTCTCTCTCTCTCTCTCTCTCACAGTACAACTTCACCCTCTCCACATCCCTCATGAGAGGTAGAGACGGAGGTGGAATAATCGCTCCTGTTCTCAGAGTCCAGAGCATATGAAATTTGCAAAAAGGTCACACACAAGTTGGTGGCAGAATGCAGACAGGGAAGCCAGAATTGCCGACACCCAGCCCCTGGTTCCGTGGTCGGGGAGGTGGGGGGTGCTGATAGAAAACAAGCCTAAAAATAGCGCCTGTCTTTGGTGCACATTGAAGAGAACCACAACACTTGCTTTTAAAAATTATTTTTAAAACTAGCAGATGGCATCGGCCACAGAGAGAAAGAGAGAGAGAGAGAGAGAGAGAGAGAAGAGAGAGGGAGAGGTTTGACTTGCTTGATTTCTGCTTGGATTAACTCAACTTGCCCCCTGAAGCTCACTGGTTGGGATGCCAACATGGGGGGCCAGCGTGGGTAGGGTCTGTTTGGACCACTCCCCGTAAGTGAGCAGATCCTGAGGCCAGCAGCTCTGACCTGCACCCAGGCTGGGCTTTGGCCCTCGGGCGCTTCTGGCTGGCACCTCAGTGCCCTTTCATTTCTGAACCAACATTTAATGATGCCCACTCTCTGCCAGGCACCGGTCCACTGCCAGAGATGCCACTGTGAATAATCCATGGTGCCCAGTGGTAAGGATTCCCCCAGAGGAGCGGGGGAGACCAGAAACGTTTCCAAATGGCAGTGTTTCCCAAAATGGCACAGGAGACAATTTTAGGTACCGATGGACGCCGGCCGATTTTTCACCTTGGTAAT